CCATAAACAGGCGGTGAGCCTGGTGTCCGCATAAAGATGGGCATCAAAGGCAAGTCAATTGACCTCATGTCGCATGCCATACTAACAATATTAGGCCTGTTGCCTGTGCTCAAGTCCATCCAAAAGCATTGCACCCTCAAAAAGTTCTCTGGGCAAACCATTGGGGTTGACGCCTATGGCTGGCTACATCGAGGTGTGGTGGGCTGTGCTTTCGCCCTTGCTCTCGACAAGCCGACCACTATCCACATAGACTTCGTGTTGAGCCGAGTTCGGATGCTTCTCGACTTCGGTGTCACTCCTTACCTGGTCTTTGACGGGGATAATCTGCCCAGCAAGGCGGCAACAAATGCGGCAAGGCGCAAGAAAAGAGAGGAAAGCAGGGCATTGGGGTTAGATTTGTACAAGGCCGGGAAAACCACACAAGCGCAGCAAGAACTTCAGAAAGCCATCGATGTCACCCCTCTTATGGCTCGACAATTGATCGAGGAACTGAAGAAGCTCAATGTCCCATATATCGTTGCGCCATACGAAGCCGATGCACAGTTGGTCTATCTGGAACACAAGGGTATCATCAATGGGATTCTGGCTGAGGACTCGGATATGCTAGTTTTTGGTGCCCACCGGTTATTGACAAAGCTGAATCAATACGGCGAGTTGCTTGAGATTGAGCGGTCGGAGTTCCCTATGTGCAAAGACATCTCGCTTGCAGGCTGGACAGACACGATGTTCCGACGGATGGCGATCCTCAGCGGCTGCGACTATTTGCCAAACATTGGAAAACTGGGTTTAAAGACCGCCCACGGCCTGGTTCGCAAGTATAACGACATCGAAAAGATCCTTCGGATGGTCCAATTGGAAGGGAAGCTGATTGTGCCGAGCGGCTACCTGGAGCAATTTCGCCAGGCAGAATTGACCTTTCTACACCACCGCGTCTTCTGTCCGGTCGGACAAAAAATGGTGTTTCTGAACGAACTTGATCCCGGAATGAGTGAGTCGGATATGCCATATCTAGGCCCTCACGTGGAGGCTACCACAGCACTTGGTGTCGCCTGCGGAGACCTCGACCCGTTCTCGAAGAAACCTCTGAAGCTTAGCGGCAAACCCTTCGTTCGCCCCGCGCTTGGAGAGCGCAGGAGCCAGAGCTATGCATCCGCACCCGAGCTGAAGCCGAAGAAATCGATCGAGACATTTTTCAAGCCTCACCGACAACCGCTTGCTGAGTTAGATCCCAACAGCCTAACCCCTTCTCCGTCACAGCAGCGACTGCTGCAACGGAACCGGAATGCGTCTTGGGAACCAAGACTGGTTTCTTCTGCTCCTGCTTTGAGGCAAAGTGCCACTATACCAGCACCGGTTACTAGTACAACAGACCGCACAGCCTTCCTGGCTAGAGCTTCCACAATGTCAACCTTTCAGTCAGTCAAGAGACAACGACTGTGCTCAGACACAATGGACCCATCAACAACGCCAGATGTGAAACAAAGTCCATTTTTCGCTGCCAAGGGCGAAGACGCCAGTCCCTTGGCCTCGAAGATTCGCAAGAACAAGAGAAATGCCAAGTCTAAATTCGATGTCTTTTCCGACCATTGTGTTAGAGAATTGCTTAAGCCTCGAGTCCAGCAAGCGGCAAGTCCAGCCAAAGGCGACGCGGCGACCGTCTCGGTGCAACCGGAGGTGCGTTGTTCATCTCCAGACCTAGAATCACAGGTGTCCGTACCACAGTCTTCCCCTACAGCTGCATCTCCAAAGCAGCCTTCGAGGTCAGACACGGTTCGGAGAGACGGCACTGCGGCTGTAAGGGAGATCATGGAGATTAATAAAGATGATGATCCCGACGCCTTTGAAGATTTACTCGAATACCATATCCAGAAGCAAAATGAGTCATTGATGAAGACCTTTGCGTTTCAACCCCGAGAAGGCTGGAATAATGTCGCAAGGCCGCTGTTCTCTGCGAAATCGAGGAAGCAGCCGCCTTGTTTTCCACCAGAGAGCCAGGTGGCTATAACTAGCCAGCCTCCGAGTGCCAAAGAGATCCAGTCACGTCGAGAAGCGGATCTACCAAAGACCTTTGGATATCAATCAATCGAGGTGCAGCAGTCAGCCATGAGGTCGCTGAACAAGCAACGTTCCTATGGAGCATCATCTTCGACTGTGGTCAAGCGGGATGATACATCTACGGAAGGCAGGAATGAATGTGTTCTCACAGCTGTTTGGCGACATGATGGCCGCGGTAGTGAGGACGCAATAATACCAAACAGCGAAGATGAAAAGTCGGAGATGGGCTCACCGGCACAGAAGCCCAAGTTTGATCTCAGTTCATTTGCATTTGTACCGGCATGAATGATTTGTCGCTTAGTTTTAGGGGTATTCTGTCTGGCGTCTACTGTGTTTCCAGGGATGCGTTGCATTGCAATGTGGAGGGTTCGGATTGGCTACTGGAGATGAGGCGAGGCGTTGGGCAGAAACGATGAGCTACTAGAATGCCCTCGAGTATTATTGGTTACAAAGAAACCCATGGGCAGTGACACTGAATGATCATGATAGACCACCTCCATGCATCGGACTGGATATGTAATGACTGAGTTCTTTTAATACATGATAAGGATGGACAGGAAACAATAAAGTTTGATCCAACTTGACATGGGAGCCGGGGACGGATATAAAAAGAGACCAAGACCCAGGCGGAACGGTAACAGGATTACGTCATAAGGCTGCGAGGCAGGAAAAATAAGCATAAGGTTGGCGGTAAGCTAAACCCAAAAGAGGAAAACAAAAACAGATGCTAGCCTCGTCTCTCAAGTCCCGGCCCTGCCACATTTTGTTACACCTGCGCTTTTTCCTGCCACCACATTAATTTCTAAGAATTCACTCACTCTCCAGTACTAGACAACCCAACCTCACGGATTTCAGTTATGGCAGCATACTGAGATCCAATCACAACCATGACCACTGCAGGCTCCAAATTTCTCCAGGACTAGAACAAGCTACGCCTCTCTCTCCTCTCTTCCTTCCTCTTCCTTTACATCTGTTCTTCCTCTGCCACAAGAAACTCAGGCAGCTAACCATTCTGTCTCTCAGAAAAAACCAGCTTTAATACCTTCGACCACTACGACTGAATATCAGCATCGCTGACCCTCCGATCGAGACTCACCTTGACCACGATTCGAACCCGGCCAAGTGCCAAAACCTGTGCTCGTGCTGAGTTTCAACATCGACTTCCGTCCTTACGGACGGCAACACACACAAAGACATAAAATCCCCTGTGGACATACCGGATCCTGAGAAGAAGACGGCACAATGGCTCTACGCTTTAGGACAGGGTGGAGAAGATTCGTGCCCTTCATAGGCTACCATCATGTCCTCATGATCTTCATAGCCATTGCAATCATCCTATTATGTGAGTACTTCGCCCTCAAATATTGATTGTTTCCCTCGGAATGCTGACTTGGTTTCTCTCACAGCACTGCTGCTAGCAGGCTGCTCCTCAACCTCTCCGCTCATCCCCGACATCTACCTCATCTCATTATATTATCAGAAATACCCTCCTGTTTTCAGCACAGTACAAGTCGACCCTTCGGTCACCACTGCGATAGCAAATATTGTTGGAAATGCCGACCTGAATGTCCGCGTAGGATACTTTGGCATTTGCATCCGGGTTGATGGAGGAGCATGGATGTGCAATCAAAACTCGACCGCATTGGCCGACCTGGTGTCGATTGATCAAGACCCATTGAATCTCATCTGGGTAGCCAGCACGTTCAAGAACGCCATTGTGTTCCCCTACCTGCTAATCATTGCCATTGTACTGGCGTTCCTCACATTTTTGCTGCTGGCGACTTTCCCAGGCTGGCACACGTCGACAGGACCGGATGGATCAGAGCACGAAGTCCGACCGTTTCCTTCAAGAGCAGTGTCACAGGTGGCGCTAGCAACGATATTTATTTCGTCGGTGTTTGTGTTGGTCAGCGTGATGTGGCAACACACCGCGGCTGTAGCAGCAAGCACGGTAGCGCAGGACTTGGGGAATGGAAGTGTCAAGTCGGGAGTCGGCACCGCCGCAATGGTGCTTGGTTGGTTCGGTTTTGGATTGCTTGTCGTGGTCACGCTTGGGCTCTTGGTCATGATATTGAGCATTCAATTGCTGGACCGCCTGACCGATGAGGTATGTTTGCATGCTCCCGAGATCTTCCTGTGGATATACGCTAATATTGTCAACAGGACTAAGAAACATGTACACTCGACGAAATTGAAGAATGTTTTGACGGACACGAATGAAGCAGACGATTGGATGTGTAATATCTCCTTGCGAAATGCGACAAAAGGGATAGGAGAGTCAACATTATGTTTTCTGAAAGGATCCAAAACTAGCGGACTGGACATAGCGACTCAACCAGGAAATTGGCGTTTATGGGTAAATAGATTTCTCGACATGGTTCAGCATCAACCAAGCATTTCCTTGCACTGCGGGTGCAAATCAGTACAGGACACACAACAAAAACATCACCACCGACTCTCTCACATACATTGGTTAGTTGGGGCGGGGCACTGGTAACGACAAGGGACGGACGGATGGATTGGAGGGACATGCGTGCATGCATACATTAGAGAGGAATGGAATGTTCATAGTCACAACATGGCGAAGCCTGGTCGGAAGTGCATTGAGAAGAAGGCCGGCCGCCTTGCCTTGCCTTGCCTTGCCTTGCACCACAATCGGCTGTGGGATGATGTGTGTATGATTGATCACAACACAGACCACAAGAGCAAGAAGCAATTAATCATACAAACATTGTCTTTCTTCTTATCTTTCTGAAGTCAGACACGGATCACATATACATTTGCTTACTGACTTACTTTGGACGAGGTACGCGTAGTACATAAGGTATGCGGTATGCGGTATGCGGTATGTCATGCGGACATTTTATACGATATGCGACGCGACAAGCCCTATGTTCCGTGTAGATGCCACATGCTCGGTCCATACTCGGATAGTTCTGATAACACTAATCCCACGACCTGGCCTTGCGATGCAACTCGTGCAGCAGGGTCGGGAAGCCGCTGATGGGCAGCGGGGCGGAGCAGTCGTGCAGACGCACGGCCAGGACCAACAGCTTCGTCTCGGACGGCTCGTCGAGGCGGACGGGGACGCGGAACCGCTGGCCCGACTGGACGACGGCGTCCTTGACGGCGGTGAAGGCCGCGATCTCGGTCCACGGGTCGTGCTGCAGCAGCGACCACGGGCTGGCGCGCGACATGGACAGTGTGGTGTAGAAGAAGCCCGTGACGCGGGTGAGAAGGCCCGCGAGCTCGGCGCTGCCGTGCCGGAGGCGCGAGCGGATCGTGCCTTGGATTTCGGGGTTGATGTTGTTGTGATTGTTGTTGTGATGATTATTGTTGACGTGCCGTGTGCCCGTGGGTGTGAGGTTGTTTGTCGACGACGACGAGGAAGTCGCATCGCCGTCCGGCTCAAAGTAGAACAGACTGGCCCGCAGGGCGTTGGCGGCGTTGTCGAGCCGGGCGCGCCACTCGGGCTCGCGCATCTGTCGCTGCACCATGTCCTCCAGCTTGGCCATCTTGTTCCACTGCCACAGCGTCACCTTCTGCAGGTGCTCGTCGATGGGTGGGTTGAGGCGGTGCAGGCGGTCGCGGATGCCGTCGGTCGCGCCGCTCGCGATGAACTCCTGCCACTGGTTCTCCGAGTCCAGCTTGCTGTGGAACGTGCGGCAGATCTCCTCGAAGCCGCCGATGCGGATCGCCCGCGGGATCTTGACCTCGGACTCCTGGATGCCTGTGCCGATCGAGACGAGCACGTCGAGCGACGGACTGTGCGGCTCCGGCCACAGCTTCCTGATCTCCTCGACGGCCCCGGGCCCCGGGCAGTTCATGTGCAACGCCCCGTCAAAGTACAGGGTCCCCGTCTCAGCCTTCTTGAACGGGGCCAGATAGAACGGCGCGGCCGCCGTGGCCAGCCCGGCTTCCCAGATCCGCATCCCTTTGCTCTCGTCGTCTTCGCGCTCAAAGTCACTGCCCGGTCCCAGATTCGGTCGGTTGTAGCTTGTGATCAGGTGTGCTCGCTTCCCGAATTCTTTGGTCGCAACCACGGCGACGCGGGTCGAGCACTGATGATGGCGAGTGCGCGCGGACCCGAAGAGACTGGTCTGCGTGCCGAAGAACTTCTTGAGCCCGGTCTCCAGCGGCGTCGAGTCAAATAGGGCCTGGTACAGGCCGAAGGACATGACCACGCTCGTGACAAAGTGGCCCAGGCCGATCTTCGTCAGGAGGCTGCCCGCTCGCGGGTAGGCAAAGGTCGAGGACGCAAACGACTTGAAAGCCTCCGTCATCAGGCTGGTCTGGGTGTTGGCGTCTCGGTCTCCCATTGTCAGTGCCAGTGCGATGATTCCACCTGCCCAGACGATAAGTATTTCTTCATCGTGTCTTGCTCTAGAACGACAACTACTTACCGGTGCTGGTTCCGACGACAAGATCGAAATAGTCGCGGAAGGGAATCGGCAGGCCCAGCCTCTTCTCCATCTCCTGGATAATGGCAAGTTCGATGATGCCCCTAATGCCGCCGCCGTCCAGGGTCAGAATGCGCACGCCGGCGCACCGCGGCCGTTCTCTGATCAAATGGGAATAGTTGTCGCCCATCCGCGCACTGCAGAGTGGACAGACCTCGAATGTCCACGCCGATTCGAAGCTCTCCGACGGCCGTCCCAGCTCGCGGACACATTGGACGCAGTATCCGTGGCCACAGTGCAGGACATTCTCGGGCACCGCCTGCAGGCAAGCCAGACAGGTGATGTTGCTGGTCATCCGGGTCCATTGCCCATTGTGCTTTTGCATGACGGCCTGTCGAACTCTCCTGATCTTGCCTGGCGCGGGCTTCGTCATCGACCGGTGCCCGGTCCCATCCTCACTCACCACGCTTTCATAGTGGACCAAGAATCGAGCTCGAATCGCGCTCACCAAGTGGGTGTCCAATTGATATCTCGGCGTGAATTCCCCGTCCGCTCTCTTTTTGGATGTCGACAGATGGAGCCGTTGGTGGGCAGTGCCCGGGCCGTTGGTGCAAAAATCGTTCTCTGAGAACTTGTACCCGCATTGCTGGTACTTTTCTTGGTACTCTTGCAGGGCGCTGTGACAGTGTTGTGCCAGGGAGAATTCTTCCTTGTCACTGTCGCTAAAGCGGTCGAAGAGGTGTGCTGGGTCCACCACTACAGCAGCATTTCAGTCAAGGGACGCCAACTGGTGATCGGCACAGCCAAAATAACTGGAAGGAAACGTGTTCTATTACCATGGATGAGACTCCTCATAGCCCAAACAACAAAACTCAGCGCGATAATATCAGGTATCATTGCCTGCGCCGTGCCCGATGGTGAAGACTCGAGTGCCAGCCGCAAGAAATTGGCGACGTGATCGGAGAACGACTGCGGATTGGGCTTGCTGATGCGGGCGACTTCGTTGAAATTGAAGGCCCCGTCATTGGTGCGAAAGTGTTCAAAGGCCGAAAAGAGGATCTGCGAGAGGGACGAGACGTTGTACTTCATCCAGCCCTTGGAACGCATGCTGATCGCTCGCTGCGAGGCCTCGTCGATCTGGGTCCGCAGCTTCAGGTATTGCGAGAACATGGTTTCGTCGCCGCGTTCATCAATGTCGTTGACGTGGGGGATGCAGCAGCAAATGATCTTGTCGTACAGGGCGTCGTAGAGGTCGCGGTTCCGGTAAATGTGCTTGCTGAAGCCGTCTTGCCGGCTGTTGTAGTCATCGACAAAGTCCTGCAGGATGGACGAGGACTTCCACAGAAAGGCCTGGCGGTCCAAGTAGAGCCGCTCCAGCAGTTCGTTGTCCACGAACTGGCGGCTGTGACCGAGGGCGCCGTTGCGGACGATTATAAGCGTCTTGCGCGACGGGTAGTTGACCGAGTGCATGACGGCGGTGGCGGCCCACTCGAGTGCGTTGACGAGCAGCAGCGTGATGTTTTGGTCCTCGTTGGTGACGAAGACGACGACGTCGCTGACGGCGTAGAGGAATCGTGCGTAGAACAGTTCGGCCCCTTGCTGGCCGTGCCGCGCGTAGCTGGCCGCCGTCACGGGCGCCTTGTACAGGACATTGGCCTCCGTGGCGTCTTCGTTGGCGATATTATGGTTGTTATTATTGGTGGTCGTCGGCATGGTCGTTCTGGCCCTGGTGCCTTGATCTGCGGTGAATCGTTCGGCATTTGTCTGGGCCGCCCCAGCAAAGAACCCCTCGCAGTCGGCAAACAAGGTGAAGCCATCAGTGGCGTCCGTGGATGAGCCGGAGTTCGAGCTCGAGCCCTTTTCGTCCTTGTAGAGATGGACGCCCAGCGTAGTTGGGTCTGCGGCGTGGTCGACGTGGCCCGACCGGGTGACTGGCATCTCCTGCTGCGAAGATATGGCAGCCATGATGGTGTCCACCCGGCTTTGGTTCGTGGAGAGGTTGTAAATGTCGTCATCTTGGACCTGTTGGACGTTGAGATTCCCCAACAAGAGCATCGCCCTTACCAACGTGGACTTGCCCACCCCGGACTTGCCGATGAAGGAGACAAAGGTGGGAAACGTCGCTGCAGTTGAAGATGTTGTCGGATCGGCGCCCATCGGTTCACACAGGGGACCAAATCGATCGTAGACGTACAGAACTGGTTGGGAGTTGCGATGGCGGATGTTGAACCATCGCGTGGCGGCATTCTGTTCGTGCAGCTGCCTCAGCGTCTCTGTCTGGTCTTCGGAGTGAATGATGTCCCTGACCAACAGATGCTGCACCGTCAACCCGACCGGGACGTGCGAGGCTGCGAGCTTGGAGCTCTTGGGGAGGTGGCCATCCCAGCAGTGGCCGTGGAACCGGCATTCCTTGAGATTGCAGTCATCCTTGTGGCAGTGGAGCGAGTAATAGTCGGGACATTGTCTGGTCCTAGAGCATCGAGCAGCCCATTTCCAGGGTATCGGTTTGCCGCAATGGCACTTGCATCCTGAAGTGACATCCTAGAATTGAAGGGGGGTTATTACCTCAACCTGAACGTCTGGAGCATTGCTGTGTTGGTGTATGTCGGGGGAACTTACCATGAAGGACGTCCCAGTTACTCACTTGGCTTGTAGGGTTAGAAGCCACTCTCTAAGCTTTGTGGGAGGGAAGCTTGTATGGCCAGAGTTCCGTATAGTAGAGGCAGTCCTACCCCTTCCCACAGTGTAGGATTCACACTGGACTCTTCCATGGGATCCTCAAGAGAACATCCACGACCTCAACCACAGCCTCTGTAGTGAGGCACAGGGCACCGCCCACAGGCTCACTTCCAAGCCCTCGTCAGCATCCTTTGTGTCGACTCATCAGGCTGAAAGGCAACAAGAACCCCATCCACTTGCGCCGCTGCCAAGGGTGGATACGAGCGTGGGACAGGGTCGCGAACCAGCAAAATGCTCGAGGCGGTATATTGTCCATTGACTCTGGCGGCTAGACCTCTGGTGGCTAGCTGAACAACTCCCGATTTGATCAGGGCTCTTTGGAAGGAACTTTGGTCGCGATGGTTCATGTGCTCGGCGCCTCCTCCATCATCTTGCAGAGAAGAAGGTCGCCCTATCCCTTGCTTGCTCAGACAAAGAACAGGGAATCTGTGTCAAGATCCGGGCTTGGAAAATTCTTATCCAGCCTGAGAGGCGAGCAATAGTGGCAGTCGAGATAGAAAGGCGGTGTCGTGTCCAGGGGTTGAGTTCGTCCATATCCAGTCGTATCACATTCCTCCATCACGTCGCTAGCACAGATACAGAATAGTCCGTGGGACTCTGACCCTTTTTGAGGCTGAGAAAACAACACAAGTGAACAGCACATGGTCTGGCCCTGTTCCCGGACCCCCTTTGCCCTCGCTTTGGAAACGCCCCTAGAAAACGTGTGGGGCCCTGGGGACTCAACGTCTAGATATTTGCGCCTTGTCACTATTATTACTTCCGTCGCCTGGTCTAGATACCTGACTCTTTTCCTTGCCACTCGTCTTGAGATCTCACAACGATCATACAGTTGGTAAGCACCGAGCCCGGACGGCTCTCGAGGCTCGGGTCTCGATGTTTCGCTCCTTCAGACACCAGCCTTCACACCACTTGGTCGGGCGACCTTCTTCGCTTGAACTGAGGGCGAGCTTCATAAGTGTCTGGGTAATGGTCAAACCGGTCGTTGGATGGAGGAGTTGTGGCGCCGCACAAGACCTCCACAAGCTTCAGGACCATCCGGATCGCGAAGGTCATCGTGAACGAGTAGAAAAGACAAGCAGTTACGTCCAGTGCCTGGTCTCTATAAAGAAATCAGTATGCACTCAGCCGAGCACCGGTTTGTACGCAGACTGACCGGAACCTAGCACCCATTGTTTTGTCAACCAGCCTCGAATACCCGTCAAGACCGGTGGTTTCATCACTGCAAGGGCCAGCGTCAGCGATGAGAACAAATCTCTGAACTTTGTTTGCAGGGGCTTACTCTGCGAAGAAGGCTGTAAGTAGCATTCCAATGATTCCACCACCAGCGTGGACGGCAAAGATAGCCAATTTATCTGCCGGCAGGACGCTATACATGATCATCCTTAGAATCTTGCAGAGAATGGCACCGACGACGCCAAAGATGGGGGCATATTTGACAGGTACCTGCAACAAGTCAGTCAATGTCCGGGTAGCTTCTCAGAGAAACCAGGGGTTCAAGGCGACTCACGTATCCGGCAGCGGGAGTAATGGCCACCAGCCCAGCAATCACACCGTCACAGAACTCCTGAATTGACGGGATATGGATCAAGGTGTCTGGTTCCGTCGATACCCTCTTGTCAAGCCAGCCCAAACCCCAGTGAAAGAGTAATCCAATTGTGCCTCCTGCGCTGGCAGCAGCCTGTGTGGCTAAGCAAGCCGACACGGCACGAAGGTTCGCCCCAAGGGCCGAACCGCCGTTGAAGCCAAACCATCCGACCCAAAGCAAACAAGTGCCCAATGTCATGTGGTTGATGCTATAAGGCAAACTCGACGTTTCGCGGTCCAGGCTAGCTGCCGGCCTCTCTGGAGGAGTTTGTGGCCGTGACCCTCGAGCGTGTCCATTGACGGCGTGTTCTGTCTCGGGGAAATTCGTTCTCAATTCGACTTCGCTGCGGGCAGTGCGATTTCTCACAGATAGCCATTTCCAGACTTTCCACGTCTTCAGATCGATCTCAAACGTCTGTCTTCGAAGGACGAGCGTCGTCTGCCAATTTGCGGCTTCGAATTGTGAAATGGTGGCAAGAGCAGCGACTGAGGAACCAGAACAGACGTGCACAGCGGTACCACCAGCAAAGTCCATTGCTCCCCTGAGTTTGGACCAGCCTAGAGGATGCCATGTCCACCGGGCAACAGGACAATAAACAAGAGTTGTCCACAAGGTAATGAAAAGAACGTATCGACCGACACGAGTCTTGCCTGCCGCTCCGGCCGACACCAGGCTTGCTCTGCAAACCAGCGTTAACTATCTGATTCAGCAAATCGTCCAAGGGAAACTCACGTGAAGCATGCAAACATGCCCTGATAGAAGACATAGACCATCTCTGGAATCTTTGGTCCCGACAGAACCAATGGAGAAGGACCTTGTATACCAACGGGTCGAGCGGTAACGTCAATATATGCATTTGCTCTTGTATCTCCGCCATACCAGGAGACACTCTGCAGATCAGCCGAGTTATACGTTGCGGGAGAGAATGCAAGAGCGTATCCCCACAGATACCACTATCTACCGTCAGACACAGCGTTGATGCCACAGGGGAATTGGTACACTCAATACTTACCACGCATCCTACCACACCCGTGGTGATCAGTGGGAGGCGGACCAAGGTGAGTGTAAAGTCCCGTTTCGAAACACCAGAGAAATGGAGGCACAGCCCAGGGATCATAAAGTAGACTTGAGCAGCTGCCACTATCATAAAACCGATATCAGCTCCCTATAGGTAAGTCAGAAAATGAGGCCGTGACAAGTCAGCTTGCCATGAAGAGAACTTTCCTGAAAGTAGCGCTCTGGTTGTAATTTCAACTCCTCGTATGTCACCGTCGCATTCGGTCGAGGGGTAGCTGGCACCGGGCCAAAAGTAAAGACCTCTTCAGTTGCCATATCTTACTCTGCTCGTCGGACAGCTAAGTAATAAGTGAGGATGCCTGTTCAGGTGATAACAAACCTGGGACAGGTGGCTCATATATGAGTTCGGCTGCAAGCACTTCTCGACGAGGAGAATCCAGCCTCTGGGCTGATAATGCCACTTATCCCCTATTCGAACTGGCTTAGCGATAGGTCGCCAATGTCAATCTGTGTGATCCGGATTGCTGCGTGGCTGCCTGTTCGGGTCGTGTTATTGGGCTGTATGCTGAGAGGGGCGGCGGCCAACCTTGTGACCAGGTAAGGACTTCGCCTCCATCAATGGTGTGCGCCTTGGTGTGAGTCCCAGGGCAAGCCGTTTTCCTTGTCTCCGAGTGAGCAGAACGGTCGATCCCTCCGCGAGCCTCAAGAAAATGTCTCTCGGAGAAACTAGCCTTGTGGGACAATTGCTGGTGTCAACACCAATGTGGCTGTCAGCGGCGAGGCTTTTTAGAAAGGAACCGTCTGCCTGGCACTTTCGTTGCCTTGCAGCTTCCACACACGCCCTCCCTTTCCTGCTAGTTCTTGTCCAGCCACCAATAATATAGGCAATTCTAATCCCACGTCAGAACCAATGGCAAGGTTGCGAAACGGCTTTCCTTACCAGTGAATGCCTCCCATGCTCGCGCCAGCATTTTGGTGGCTGACACCATCTGCATTCATTAACCATCTCGTCCGGCCTCTGACACGCTCATCATTCTTATCTCGTGCCATCTGGTGACAGATGCATGTAGATACCTGCATGTCGTTAGCTTTCTGAGACGATCTTTGTTTATAAAGATGAATTCGGGGAGCCGTCACCCTGCCCACACCCAGCGACGAGAAAAGCATAGCTTCGAAAGGCAAAGATGGGCCGTGGGAGAACTTCCACTGTTCGAGGAGGACTTAACCGCCTGGGACGGGAATGATCCACAAAATGTGCAAGACCTCATCAACCTCGTACAAGACCTTCGAACGGGAAGCGTGGGAGGGCTGGACGACCTCAGTACTTATCCAATTCTTCATCGCCGCATCATCCTAGAAGACCCTTCCCAATTAGTCCCCAGCACAGACAGTGGCATGACCGCTGGCTCTCTCAAGTATGTCATCAACCATTTGACGACAGGGAATCACGCTCCAAAAAATCAGCACCAAGACGGCTTCTTGAAGTGGATAACCCAAATCTGCATCACCATCTGGACGTACCGTTGTGATCAGGCAGACTGGCGGGCATTGAAACGGAGTATCAGCGAGTCAGTATTGAGCAACGACTTCGAGCCCGCCGTAAATGATGCGGCATATCTCACCATCATCGCGTTCGTCCTGGGTGAGGATCTTGATCAGATGCTCGTGGAATATATTGATGCTGTGGTGTGGAATTCCAAAGTCGAATTCGCCTGCGAAATAGAACCGCTGCGAAGTACCATCAGTCGTTAGTGGTCCCTTAATCCCCTTTCACGTTGCCTGATCACCAGAGACATCCGCTGACCGCTTGAAGGCGAGCGAAGATCCTTGGTCGAGTTCATGTATCTCACTTTCTCGCGTGTGATGCAAGAGCTGGCGTACTGTGGCGACAAACAACTGTTAACTTTGGGCTTGAGACTTCATGCACGCTTGACACAGCTGGGATTGGACTTGAGAAGACCGTTCGCGGGCACTCAGGACTTCAACCGTGCTCAATATCCAGCGGCCTTTGAAGCCACGTTCCTAGAAGCACTGATGGCAGAGCAGGGAACTTTGAGAACTAGGTGTAATGCCGGGGTTGTGAATGGGGCGGAATTGCAGCATTGGAACCCAGTGCCGAGAAGATTCGGCAATGGTGAGGCAGCCGTGGCAGCATTCGCTGGCTTATTCAGGAGAAATAGACAACAACCTGCTCACACCCACTTGGAGAATATCCTGAAGGATGCAATGAGAGCGATAGCGGAGCGC